CCATTACTTTTTCAAGTATCTAAATTATAAAATAAAGGTATAAAGTATTAAACAAAGAAATTGTACGCCGCGCCGCCGCTCGCGCCGAGGCTTCACGCAGTGTCGGCCGCATTGGCAAGAGAGTAGGTACTTGATCGAAAATTTACGGATATTCGTGTCTCGCAGCTAAACAAAGTAGATTGTTTTGCCATTTTGCCGCCATTCATGTTTCCGCGTATACTTTGATTGTCAATTTAATCACAAGTGTGCTTTTTTTAATTTATTTTATGTACACACATTAAGATACAGAAGCAGTCTTATAGTAATTTCGTACAAAGGTTCTACTTATTCCAAATTAGCTGAAATATCTTCCAGTAGACCCATAAAGGAAATTATATTGAAATTGCAAACTTAGTGCATACGTACTACTAAAAATAAATAATATACACAATGTTACGTAAATTATATAAAATAAAACAATAAATAAAAATAAAATAAATCAATAAATAATAATATTAATAAATACGATAGTTACATATGATATATATAAACTAAAACTAATATAATAGAATAATATATACATATAAATTAACAGGATGCAAAGTAGTTATCTCTAAGACGTTTCTTGAATACCAACAAAGTTTCGGAATTTCTTATATTTGACGGTAGTGAGTTCCATAATCTTACCGCGTAAACTGCTTGTTATAATGTTTGTTGAACGGCGTGAACGGTTGTTACCGGTTGGCGGTATACGCCAGGTAAAGTGGCAGATTGTACTCTTCGGTCTTCCGTAAAATCTGCCGCAGGGTATGTATGTGATCTATGTTACTGAAGCCTTTTCGGAAACCGGCTTTTTCGGGAGGCTGGGAGTCGTCGAGTCTGCGTGCGAGACGGTTCGTAATGACTCTCGAAAACGGCACGCAGACGCGGCTCTGAAAGGAAATCAGTCTGTAGTTCTTCAAGAGAGCGTAATCGCCTTTTTTTAAAAACAAGAGCACTGCACTTCTGCATCAAGCCTCCGAGTAGTGCCACCATGAAGGACGAAATTGAAGAGATTTTGAAGGACTTTAAGTACCGGTTTTCCGTCCGCTTTCAAAAACTCCGCTGTAATTCAATCTTCACCTGAGGCATTGCCGTTTTTAACGTGATAGAGAGCCTTCTTTTCTTGCTCAGACTGACTTTCGGGACATCATCGGAATAGTGTCGGATTAGACTTGCTCTTGAATCGTTACTCACACTTGCGTGTGGCTCCAACGATAATGTGTTCAGCAGCTCATAGAAACTCTCAATCTCACTCAAAATCTCAGGTGTCACGGAAACGGTGTTGCCACACTCATTCTTCAAAGACTTTGGAGCCCTGGTTCCGTTCGATTGCTTCTTCAATACGAGCAATATTAAAGTTGCGTAAGTCTCGCCGCATGCATTTGGAGATCTGTCTGTTCAGTTGCCTGTATGCTGTCAAATCTGTTGACGATTGCAGCCTCATCTCCCGCCTAACAGCCATGAGATTAAGAGTGTGATCGGAGAGTTTTTGTGTTCTTCTGCGGCGGGTCTTGCAGAACTTAGCTCCGACCGCATGGACAGTTTCCACGAGCTTGTCATTCATATCGTCCACTGCATTGCAATCTTCTAGGCACTGAAAGCGGTTACGTAACTCGAGTTGAAAGGTTTCGGGATTCTGGATTAGAGCACGAGGGGGACGGAGCGTTGACTTCTTTAGACGAGACCTCTTCAACTTAACGTTTAGGTTCAGTGTACCTTTAACCATTCGGTGATCACTGCCAGTTTTCATCCTTGCGATCAGTGAGACATCACTGAACAGTTACCGTCTCGTCTTCATAATAAATTCAATCTCATTTTTTTTATCGTACTGTCGGGCCTCGACCAAGTCCACTTTCTGTGGAGCCGCTTCAGGAAAAAAGAGTTCATTATAAACAGTCCCTCCTTCTCCATGAAGTCGGCCAGCTGCTGGCCCCTTGTGTTCCGTTGCCCTAACCCAAATTTACCTACCGTCAGCTCACCTTTCTTCCTTTTGCTTAGTTTTGCGTTGAAGTCTCCCATTAACACCGTATAGTGGTTTTTATAAGAAAGCATGGCTCTAGAAATATCATAGAGAATATCTAAAAATGTAATAGATGTTGGTGCGTAGACCTGTATGACCTTGGATACCGTTTGATGATTCTGAATATGAGGTACGCAACCTTCGTCGACACACTACCAATCTTTACAAGGTTGTTAACGAGAGACTTGTGGACTATAAATCCAACACCTCCTTGGGACAGAATGGTCGCCCTCCCGGTGATAGAACAAGCTGCCGGATTCAAGAATCACCGTGTCCTCCTCTTCTCTTCGGACCGCGGATGATCCTTTAATATTCAAGCGCTACTTGTCTATCTCTTCTTCCAGCTCCAGGATCTTCTTGGTAGTCCTCAGGGTGCGTCCGTTGTTTGTTGCCAAGTCGAATCGTCTTAGGTGGCAATCGACCCTTCACCGGAGATTCTTAGCACCCCTATCCCGCCTTTACCATGGTCGCCACCTAGCCAGGAATAGCGCGGCCGCCGTGGAACTGAGGGCCGTTTACTTGTGTCGTTGCTCGTGGGGGGTATTTCCATAGTTGCCACGCTTTACGAGTGGGTTGGCAAATGCAGTTTTTTTTGTTTTACATATGATGTTATCAGGAAGATGCTGCTGCCCATCTCCTGCCGCTTTCCCTCTGTGGCCTTTTACGACACCCACGGGGATTCTTAACCACCACTACACGGCAGTAATTTTTAGCTTAGCGTTCTTTATTCGATCGCTCTCAGGGCCGGCAAATGTTATAAAAAACGGATGCAAAATATAAAAACTTGTATGCAAGCCCGTGTGTACTCAAAAATATTAGTATTCCTACATCCCTTGGAAGGGAAGCACTTTAAAGATGTTCCTTTAACTGATTCTGAAGAGCTAGATTAAGAATTGGTACCCACATGTTAAAAATAATATTACGTTTTTAATTAAATACTTTACTGATAATAAATAATAATACAAATATGATAAAGATGTTTTATTTTCTCCGAACATGAAATACAGTAACATAGGAAATCCAAATCGAATGAGTCTCAAAACGTTAAGCAAGGTCCGAGACACAATACATATAAATAAGCCTAAAATACTCATTTTTTTTCGGTACCGAAATTATTTCGGTAAAGGTATTAGTAAAATAAAGGTATAACGATACCGTAAAAAAATATAGGTATAATTCTTTTTTTAACGGTACCACAACCGTAATTCTCAACCGTTTTGGTTCTACCTTTAAATCAAAGCTGTATCGTAATTCTATACCGGTACCATACCCTTATACCTTTACCGCTTTCAACCCCTGCTTGAAAGATGTTCTAAAGATTGTGTAAATAAACTACGAAACTTTTACTCTTTTTTATTTCGATAAAAAAAGAGTAAAATGTATAAAAATATTTTATTACAAAGTGTGGTTCTTATAGAAGATAATGTTATGATGTATTATTTATTACCGGATTATTTTTTGTGGTGTAGTCTACAGTTGTTTAATAGCTTATAGCATTAAGTGAAATTTTAGTGAAGGACCAGGCTCTAACTAAATAACAGCATAAAATGAAAGCATAATAATTACAATATTAAAAAATGCTGCAATGTTTTGTATAATGAGTGACGTGAATGATAATTTAAGACATTCTAAATTCTCAAGAGCAGCTGTCTATGGGCTCACCATCAGGCGCAATGTATGGTCATTTTTCACCATTCTAATATAAAGAATGTATTAAAAATAAATGATGTATTTCCGGCAATATTTTTCCCTGGGAGATTGATATCTCCGTAGCCATTAATAGGGAAGGAAACACCTATAAAGTAATTATTCTTCAACCGGCATTCGAACAACAGCAGTTCAGCAGTGCCTTACGATCAGATATCGTAAAGAGGGAAGCTGGGAAAAACTTAGTAAACTGAAAACTTAGTTTGTGACACTCGTGGTATCAAATGAATAAAGTAAAAATGAAGTGACAAAAAATATACAATTACTTATATTCAATGTATGTGCTTAAACAAGACATAAATGTAATTTTAATTATTGACCTCTGGCCGTGACAACTTCCAAATACTGTCGAAAGCAATCAACTACATAGGCCATAATAGTGTTACAAGTAAATATTTCTGTCTCTAAAATGACGAAAATAGTAAATATTAAAATAAAATAAGCAATTTGGCAGCTAGAACTCAAAAAACATAATATCTCTTGTAATGACAAGCACCAAAGTGTGTAATAATTATCTGAAACTTACCGAATAAACAAAACTTTGATTCCAAGGTATAAAATAATTTTTGCTATACGAAATTACATTTATATGATCACGTGTTCAGACTTTGATTCCAATATACTTACATGAGATATCAATGACATTTGTGATCCGATCAGACACATATTAGTCAATTAATGCGTAAAATAGAAATTTGAACTTTATTTCAAGTGTTGTAAAGTCTTCTGGAAATTTTCAAATTTTTAGAGGAAGCTACAATTTTAGAGGAAATACAAGTCACAATCCAGTGGAATGGAATTTCATGAAGTTGTAATAGGATAGGTATGACAGCAGGCTTCTTGATACTTTTTAATTAAATTTGTTTTTTTTTAAATTAGTTGTGCTTGTGTTAATCAACTCATTTGCGTGACTACGTGTAGTTAATCACACAAAGCTCTAAAGTAAGACCCTTGATAATTTTGATATTTTACTGATACAACGTATTTTAGATTTGCTTTTTTCATAATAGTGCTTAAAAGGTCACGAATTTAGTATCCAATAAAAAAACTCCGTTTGTTTCATTTCATTTTAATTTTTTTTTCATCGTGATGTTTTGATTTATATAGCTTGGACTGAAAAGTAAGATGACAAAATAAAACATTTTCTTTTTTCATAAAAACATTTTATTAAGTAACGATCATAAACCAAAGTAAATTGGTTATCATTTTTATAAAAATCTTTTAAGAAAACAAAATTATGACACAAACTAACTTATTTACAGTCTCCTGGCACCAGCTTAACAATTTCATAAGGGTTAGAATAAATTATATTATCATCATCGTCAAAAGTGAGACCAAAGATGTTTCTGATGTCGGCAATCTTTTCTAAACTACGGTTTGTTTTATTAGCTACATAAATTGCATGTTGTCCACAGAAATGAGCAACACCTTCATTGTTTACTTCAATACAACGAAAATTTTTAGCTCCCGTTAGTAAAATACGATCTGTAGTACCGTAGCTTATTAAGTATAAACCAGTTTTGTTGGTTATGAAGGTATCTTCCTGGCCATCTACAACGTATTGAAATATTTTTTCGTGAATGTGCTTTTGTCGTACAATTTTCACGTGAGAATTTTCGTTTAGACATTTATATAAACGCTGATGAGGATAGCTAATGAAATGTAATTCCTTTTTAAAGAACATATCCCAAATATTAAAGCCGTGTACAATTTTTTTGGTTTCATTACCTTCTTTAAGTGACTCCTCATATATGCCAAGACTGCCTCCGAAGTAAATCTTATGATTGGGATTATCAATTGCTATAGCGAAACCGTTTTCAATATTATCTTTGACAACGTGTTCTCGTTGTCCGCTCTCGATATACGCTATGCTGAATCGATCTTCTTCATCTTTTCCTATGTTGTAACTAAAATAAACTCTGTGTCGATGTTTATCATAAGTCAATTGGTATGGACGATCGATATTTTCAGCTAAAATTTCTTTTCTATGAAATTTATTATGTAGATGGATCCCATCGCAATTTTCACTTTTTATATATTTCAGATAAACAAAAAAAATAATACACACAATATTTAGTAACCGCATTTTAACGGAAAGAGTACGTTATTCGCCTCTATTTTATACGACGCGTTAGACGTGCATTCGCGAATGATCTAGCTCATTGCGTGTTATGTATTTCATACACTGACTCATATAATCTGGATGTAATTAATAAGGATCGATTTTGTGGGCGTAGTTTTGATGTTAGGTATACCAACTGAACTAGCGACCGCCCGCGGCTTCACTCACGACAAAATTACGGTTTTCCAATCTCGTGGGAATCAAAAAAAAATCCTTCCTTATTCCTCGTCCTAATTATAAAGGAAACCTTTGTGCAAAAAACTTTCTAGGTTCAAGCGTTTGGGTTGAGCATTATTAAGTGAGTAGGTGAGTGCATCCAGACTTTTTTATATTACCATAATACCCAAGAATAAGAGTAATGTTAATGATTTCTTAAACTTACGCGGATACTACACTTTAGATAAAACTATTTTTGCGGATTTTATCGCGTTCATTTAATTGATTTTAATTTAATTAAAAACCTGAAGGTACTCCGGGTTAACACTAAGATCAGGACGTCAATCAACTCGGTCCCCCTTGACCATGGGAACTGGAAAGCACCCGAATCATCCGGTATTAAAATCAAGTAAATTATACGCGATAAAATCGGTAAAAGTAGTTTTATTCGAGGGTAATGTTATTCGAGTGTATGTATATATGTATGTATGTCTATTTCTATGGTACCCTCTGTAGCCTGAACGGCTGGATAGATTTTAATATATAACTTGTAATTAGATTCGTCTTAATTGTGGGAGTGACACAGGCTATATAATATTTATATATTGCATCCGCAAATACAAAAAAGAGGGGCAAACATACAAACATTTAAATAATACAAGTTTTTTACGGATTATATCATGTATTTTAACTTTTTTATATACCCGAAGTTTCGAGCACTTTACGTCACGGGGGGGGGGGGGGTTGAGATGTTCCAGATGTCATAGTAAACCGCAGTTTCCGTAGATTAAAATTATTAATTTTTGTTCAGATTTATGCAGTATGAACTTATAGTATCTTGTTGTCTTGCAGTTGTATAAACCAAAAAACCACAAAGGGTTTTTTGATTTGTATAGCCTCGCGAATCATCCTTGGAATTAATCGGTGTTCTTTAGCGAGGATTTGTGGTCTATGGTATATATAATTTGATGTAGTGACGGGGGCGATCCTGTACGTGTTTACAGACTGTAGACTTCCCGGCGCGTCGATTCTTCACCCTATCTATATGTTTTTTAATGTGAGTTTTAATTAATCTTTTAGTTTGTCCTATGTAGGAGAGGCCACATTCACAATCAAGCTTTACTATGAGATCTCGACGTTACACTATGACATCTGGAGTTGAACATCTCAGTCCCACCCCTCCCCGTGACCACGGGTGCTGTAAAGTGCTCGAAACGTCGGGTATATAAAAAGCTAAATATAAGCGATATAATATCGCATCCGTAAAAAACTAGTATTATTTAAAAGAGGGGGGAAATTTAAAAACGCAGTCGGGATTTTTAAAAATAATTATTTTAACCGTTAAGCTTGTATATATTTATGAACTACGTTCTGAACAACGAAACGATGCAAAAATAACATAATTGATGATGGTTACGAAACGTATCGGATTCGGATTGCAAAAGATAGCCAGACGTACGGGCGATTCATAACTTAAATTGTAAAGAGTCCCTTAGAGAAAAAATTTAAGAATAAACATATTAACTTTGGCATCGCAATATATTTATGAAAATTTAATGTATGTACATAAAAACACAAATATCTTTCATAAAAATAAAGAAGTTCATACTTTAAACACTAGGAACAAACATAAGCTTATAATACAAGTTACTAGACTCCACAGAATTAGTAATTCATTTGTGGACCTATGTGTGTACTCTTTTACAACAAAATCCCAGAAATAGTACAAAATTTGTCATTAAACAAGTTTAAATGTTTTACTAAAGAAAAATTAAAGATATTAATAGTTACTTTGCAACCATCCGCCAATAATTTTATTTAGCGGATGGTTGCAAAGTAACTATTAATATCTTTAGTACTTATAATGGATTTTCGCAAAGTAACGCCTGATTCTACTATCTAAAGAAAAATTGTACACAAAGGGTTATTATAATATAAAAGAATACATAAATAAAAATAACCCCTGGGAATGAGGTGATCGCCACCATGCTGTTTTACCTATTTGTTTTATTTTGCAATGAGACCGTGCCAAGGCTTAGTTGCAGTTTTAGATACGGGTCTCGTATTACGAATACAGATCATTGCATCAAGCTGAACACGGGAATATTTTACCAGATCGCCTTACTACGCGTGTTCCCGGAAGAAGGTTGTAAACTTACCTTGAATATAACTCTTTTGAAGGACCAGGAAGCAGTGTTTGTGTGGTCCTAAGAACAAGAAGGAAACGCAAGTATGATCGTGACTGCTATTCCCAACAGATGGACCTTTAAGACTACCGAGGCATTCTTCGTTATTGCGTCTTCGTTAGAATGCAAGGATGACTTCTTTACAGAGCACTTTTACTCATAGTGGGGCTTCTTATTCTTTAGAATTAACTTCGCTGATCAACAGAAATTCGCAGCAAACGTACATGGAGTATCATAGTAAACCTAACTCATAGTGTAAGCAGAAATTATCCGGCCCTCACTACTCTCGCTACCGTGTTATACGGGCATTTTTTTATTTTGTTGTCTCATTTTTTTAAAGTTGAGTAAAAAATAAAGTTGATGCTTTTTCTTTTAAAATTAATTAATTTAGTTCCTCATTCTGTGAATTACCATTATTTATAATAATAAAACATAAATAGTACAGAAATAAGAATATAATTACCTTTTACTTAAAGAAGTTAGCAAAATGTTATCCACTGAGAAACAAAATGTTGGTTTGTAAAAAATATAATAAAACTCAATGTACATTATTTTTTTTTATTTCATGATTAAAATAATGAGAAACATTAATGAAATAATGTCAAATAAACATAAAACATAACTAAAGTAACCGAGTATTTGGAACAGTAAGTCCTGTGAGTTACATTGCTGACTTTTCCGCATACTTTTTATTCTTCTAAAATTGGTAACTACGATCATATGACAGTTAAAATCCTTCTATAATTAATTAAACATTTTCATAAAACGACAAAATATAAACAAAACACTTGCATAGCAGAAAATCTAAAAAAATATTCAAAATCAATAAAATAAAATAAGGGGACAATCTCTCAATGGAACGTAACTAAAACGTAAAGCCGTGTCCACATTATTCAATTAATACTATTATTTTGGTAAATATAATAAACATAAATGAGAAACAATGCAACATCTTATAAAGGTATTCTTGGTGTCTACTTATCCTATTTAGATATTACTATAAATCAGTCTTTACTAAGTTACTAACAGCTATTTCTATAATCAACAAAATCAACTAATAACTGATTATAAATTATTGAAATCAATTATTTATAACAAAATTCACAGATATAATCACAACTAAGATTTAAATTGCCAGAGCATTTTATACAGTAATAGAAACCACACCGGGTACACTTGTTTAGGCAAGCATTAAAAAGATAATGTTTTTTACACTGATTACATGGTAAAGTGCGTTTAATTATTGTTTTCAAGGACTTACATTTTTCGGTTTTGCTCGCGGTGAATACATTTTCGGTTGATATATTCTTAATATCTAAAATGTTAATTTTTTGTTTTTTAGGAACAGGTTCATCCATGACATTTTCCTCAGCACCATTATTCAAATTTATATCCAAGTCCAGGCTAATATCATTTAAGGAAAGGGGTTCTTGGTCCTCAATCTGTATCCGGTTGAAATCCATATTTTCTTTGTTTGAATTAACGATTTCATCAGAGTTCTTAGGTATCGGTAAATATTCCAGATTGTTTTGATAGTTTTCATGGATATCAGCTGTAACCGTGATCACAACATGATCAGGCTCAGCTACTTTTGCGACTTTCATTGGAGATTTTTTTGGTTGATGTAGCAGATGAATCAAAGTTTGAAGAGTTTTGTATGTCCGTTTGATGATCAGGAGAAAAGTTAACAATCTCAGTAGGAGAATCGCATCTTTTGGTAATCTTTTGTAATATTCTGTTGTTAAAAACATGTGTTTTCGGAACGAAACAATTACAACAACCCCTTTTAATGCCACAAAAACAGGACAGAGTTCTATATTTAATGCAGTTTGGTGTACATGACAAAATTTGATGTATTTTCATAGTGCCTTTTATTGTGCTGAGATTTTCGGGTATAATCTTTTTAATATTATCAATATCTCTGTTGGGTATATATATAATTTTTACGACTTTCATACATTTTGAAAGATGCTCGTATGCTTGTAAGCCATTCTCAACATCCCTGCCAAATGCAACTTGACGATCTAAAGCTCTCTTAACCGAACCTCCTATGCCATCCGCCACTCCTTTCCCATGACCTGCTTCAGAATAAGACCAGGTGGTATAATCAAGCTTCAACTTTTCTGTGAATAAATTGAGCAGGAAAAAATTGTTTCTTTGACGATATTGGGAGGAAGGGCCATCAGAAAAGAAGTGCAGTACTTTTGTCAGGGGGTTTATTTTCTTGATCTCACGGATCACAGGCAAAAGATGCGCCCAAATGGCTGCAGGTTCATGGGCATTGTTGTCTGATATCGTACAAAACGACTGTGATTTCTCAGTACAATAAATCATTCCGGTATGTAACGTTATTTGTCTCTTAGAAGCACCAAAATGTTGAGCTTGGATTTCTTTCCCCATTTTGCAACCATAATTTTCTGAAAAGTCACATATTATTAACGCTTCATGAGGCTTGAGGTTGTTAACACACTCTTGGTATTGTTTTTGTTGGTAAATCCAATTGAAGTGATGAATTTTAAATAATTTCATATTTCTTTCAAAAGCTGATACCAAATCGCCGCGGCTGCCTTCTTTTTGTAGTTTAACTGTTCTTTTTGTTGTAAATTCTTTAGAGATCTTGTTTTCTATTTTTATATATTTATGATCGCTTATACCCCACTGATGCCACTTTACTCTGTCTTCTAGATTTTCTTCCAATGAATCATAATGTATTTTATTGTCTTTGCACTCTTTGCATTCTCCATACATGCAATCTTTCGACTGTATGCTACAACACTGTTTTTTTATAACATCATTTACAGTATTAAAATTATTTAGGATTTGATATTTTTTAAGTGCATAAAACAACATATCAGTATTGTTGTGTTTAATGCACAAACACGTTTCTCTATTTTCAACCGTTGGGGATAAAACAAAAAAGGGTCTATATTTGAAAAATGTCGCGAGACTATATTTTCCACCTTCTTCGCGATACATTTTATATAAGTTAGAGACCGTGTCGGTCAGATATCGAATCTGTTTCTTTTCTTTATTCATTGTACGGCATTGCTTTTTCCCTGCTGTCATCCTACTCACGTCGTCTCTTATATAAAATGTTTCTATTACTTTTCTGATTTTAGTCTGCATTCCGCTTTGGAGTTTAATTCTTGCCAGACCTCTTAGGCCTAATAATTTGGAAACAAAAGTTTTGTTAATGGAATGTTGAACAATGTTGTCAAGAACAATTTTCTTGATATTACGTTTTTCTTTTATGGTTTTGCATCCCATGTAGGATTTTTTTTAATGTTGCTTCTAATATCTCCTCTCTTGCTTGTAACTTTAATATTTTTTCTTCAAGTTCCTTAACTTTTCTATCTGTGTCTTGTTTTTGACGATATAAGCGTTTCTTGTATGTACTTACAGTTCTCATTAAAGTTTCTATTTTTTTCAGAGCCGCCTTATATTTTCTGAATAATTTATTTTGACATTTCTTCTTTGGTGTGGTATTGTCTATGTTTTCCTTTTCTATTATTTGAAGTTCCTTTTTTTTAATTGTCTGCTTGCGTTTCTGATTTCGCCATATCTTTCGTTGTTTTTCTTTATCTTTCTCCGTTAGTTCGTTAATTTTTTTAGTTTTAGATTTGACATATTCTGTATGCTTCTTTTTAACATTATTATACTTTTCCGGATTCTGTTTTAACCTTTCCCTATATTTTTTCATTCGTTCTGCTGCAGTCATAGCCATTTTATCCCTACAACAATGTATTATAATCATTAATTTCAAACAGTACAAAATAGTCAAAAGCAAAATAAAATTTGGACTAAAATGAAATCTAATGGCCGTGTGGATAAAGGCAAAACCGAGAAAAAATGTTTTGCAAATAATAAAAAAATACATATTACTTAAATTACTTGCACTAGTTAATATTATCACTATATTCGTACACTATAATAATATTATAAGTATTAATATATGAATATTTATAATATTATTAAAATCGATATAATATTGCCAATATTATAAGGATACTGGAAAAATAACAATATGAACGTAACTTTAGCCTTGCATTGAGTTACATTTTGATCCGTTGAGTTACAAAATTTCTCAACGGAACGTAACGATTTTGCCGTAACTAAGTAATATGCTAAACATTTTCGATTTTTTAAATAAATTTAACTTAATAGTTAACATATTTGAAATTCACAGATTGCATAACTAAATAATATCTAAACACTGCATAAAACATTGCACTTACCACAGAAAATACCGTAATTCAATGGATTACAAAATGTAACGCCTGACACGTCCTCTTCTCTCGGGCGCTGTCATGCACACTGACGCCATTTATACATTCACAATGGCATCATGCCACGTCTTCTTAAGTGTTGTAAGTTCATAAAAATAAAATGTTGCATCGAAATTTTTGATGAAATATGGAAAAAAGTACGTAACTCAATAGGACTTTCCATTGCGGTGCATTTTATGTCGACGTATTTAATTGAATTTTTACTATACGTGTGTTTTCTTTGTGGTAATTTAAGCATAAAAACTTGACTAAGAACTATATTTTACAGGTTTTAAACTATAAATAGGCATACCCGATAGTGAAAAATAATCTTAAAAATTGAACTTCAATATGTTCGATTTCTAGGAGGACACGGTTAAAACAGCTATTTGCTCACATATAAAGCCCTGTTGTTTTGAGAAAAAACAAATATGATAGCATATTGAAACATATTTTGGGTGCCTATAATATCTAATTTAAGATCAAAATATAGTTTCCACAAAAAAATATTTAAATCTTATAAAAATGTTGTATGTACTTTTGGGACACGGGAAAATCCACATCGACAACAAAATAATAAAATGCCCATACACGCTTATTGCGGTAAGATTTAATCACCAGATACGAGTATATACACACTCCTACGTGGTACACCTCCGGTCGAGCCGACTCATTCGTGTATCATCAAAAATGCGTGATTTTACCACATAAATCCTGCTTACCAGCTAGCGTAGTCTTTGGCAGTCTTAGGCCTAAATCCAAAAGTGGCCTTTATACTATTATTTATTTAAAAACTTACATGTAACACCTTAAGCTAAAGGGTACATAGGGCGGACTTAATGCCATGTGGCATTCTCTGCCAGTCAACCCTGGGTGCCAAGGACAATTGTTGGCAGGTGCGACCATTATACATAAATAAGTACATATACATTTAAATATACATATATACAAAGTACATACATACACAATACATTGTACGTATATTTATATTATATAGTATAAATATACGTACAATAGTATTATTGTATACATAGATACATACATATATATAATATATATATATACATGTTGTTAATGACGATCGAGTTCTGTTTCAAATTGGCCTCGAAATTCATTTTTAATGTAAGTGTGTCTGAAGTTTAATTTTACCCCTTATCAAGGCGAAAAGTACTAGGATATTAGCAGTGAGCAGATATTTATTTTAAGCGAAAGAAAAGGACAGTTAGTAATATATCTCGCTTTCCTAAAAGAGGGTGGTCCTCATCCTAACTTTACCCCATCCCTCCGTTCAATCAAATCCTCGTGCCGCTTGTTATTGAACCCCACAGTTTCGAAGCGAGACAGTGCGTCTGTTGCTTACGTCATAATCGTTGCATGTAAATCGATATCTATTTTGTAAGATTATTTTATATATTTGACATTATCAATCGTTCCAAATTCCAATAGAAAGTATTTTGAACAGTGAACATATAATGTATAGTTAAATTTTTCCTAGGTTTATAAAACTTTTTTTCATTCAAGCTTTAATATCAAACTTAGCTCATTATATTAGATTATTAAAAAATTACGTTTTTATAGTTTTTATGTAACTAAGTGAACCAAAGAAAATAAACAAATTACATTACTATTTAGAACCTATTTATTTGTTTCGCCCTTTATGTCGCACATTTATTTCACAGAACGACCTTATTTTGTATTCTTCATTTTATTAACCATTGAAAACCACTCGTATGTAAAAGAATTCTTCGGCGTGCTTCAAACTAAAATCCTCCTTAATGACATTTGTGCCATTAGAAATTGGTGGTCACTGATCACACATGTACAATAGTAGTACAATGCCCGGGCAATAGTAATTAATGCTAAAATATTGACGTGTATAAAGTACAAACTCCTCTCTTTGTCTCTGTCTATAAACAGGGACAAGGAAATGAAATGTGGAGATGCTACCAACTGTTTTCTTGATTTTATACAATTTCGTTAGCAAATCTGACTATATTCGCTCAGTAACTTATTTTTGCGTCATTGGACTAATGTGTACTATGTAATAGAACAGACACCAGGAACAAAATCTGTGCAGTAGTGTAGGGCACGTGGCAGGAGGCACGGAGTAGCTTTATATTATATGCTAAGTTTGAGTCCACGGGCTCTAACGCGTGCTGCAAACAACCAAGCCTGGGCGTCTCTTCTAGTACGTAGTACAGATTGGTATTGGATTAGATTAGAATCAATCTCTCATTTCACGTAATGTTTTAATAAATTGTCAGCGTATACTGCATACGTTATGCTACGACTATCGATAAAGCATGGGGTCAGACGTTGCATGTTTTGGCGGGGAACTC